CTCACACATATACACACCTGTTCCACCCCACCCCACCGCTCACCTCCAGCGACTTCATCTTCGTCTCCGGCAGCCGCGCAGTCACGTACCACGCCGCCCCGGCGTTGAGCGCGGCATACAGCATGTACGCGCCCCCCAGGCCCAGCCGCCCCAGCAGGGAGTCGAAAGACAGCGTCACCAGCAGATTGCCCAGCCAGCCGGCCGCGGTGGCGAGGGAGGCGGCGGGGCCCTTGATGCGCGAGGGCAGGATCTCGGACAGCACGACCCAGGGGATGGGGCCGCAGCCTGGGCGGGGCCGTTGCGAGGGGAGGGGACGAAGAGGGAGGGACTGGGGCGACGGCGCGGCGGGGTGGGGCGGTGGGGGTGGCGTGTGCGGGGCCGCTCGGAGACGCAGCCTGCCCGCAGCGCGCGCGCATGCGGCGAGGGGTGGTATTGCAACAGCGGCCCAGGGCGCCGTGTGCCGGCGTCGCTTGCGGACGCGCTGGGAGGCGGCAAGGGGCTGTCGGCAGCCACGCCCGCGGGTCTCACCGATGGCGAAGGCCGCTACGTAGAGCAGCATGAGCGCCACAGTTAGCACACCCTGCACCACGGGGCCCGCTGCGACAAGGGCACGGCGACGGACGCAGCAGGGGCGGCGGCGGGGTCAAGGATCGGGGGCGCCATCGCATTCCTTGTGGGGCGGCGGTGCGCCGCGCTTTGCCCGTGACGAGGACGGAACAACCCCCGCCCTTCCCCGCCGGCTCCCCCGCGTGCCGGCTGCCCTGCGCACTCACTCGGCAGGAAGATGGCCGCCCCCACGAGCGCCAGCGATGCCGCCATCCCGCCAAACGACGCCTGCAGCAGCGGCTTGCGGCCCCAGCGGTCCATCAGCGTCGCCGCGCCGGCCGTGAAGCCGAGGTTTATGGCGCCCACCAGGATGGAACCCAGGATCGGGCTACTGAGGCCCGCACGCAGGAAGACCTGCGGGCGGGATGCGATGATGTCATATTGTTGTGATGTGTGCCGCGGCGCAGCACTTGGCACGTCTCGGAGAGGCCGTCGGGGGCGGTCCGCGCCAGGCCGCAAGCCGGCCGTGCAAGCAGCCCGCCGGCAGAAGCTGGACAGCGTGCTGGCCATTTCCCTTGGCCGCTCGTCAAACCCCAACGAGCGGATTACTCTGCGCGCCTGTCGCCCCTGGTTCAAGGCTGGGCATCCATCAGACACCTGGGCGTTCCCAGCGCCGCCCTCGGCGCCGCACCGCGCCGGCGCCGGCGCGCGCGTCGGCCCACCATGGACGAGTAATAGATGACCGTGTTGATGCCGCTGGCCTGCTGCGTGAGCGGCAGCATCACCGCCAGAGCCAGCATGCGGCGGTACTCGTACTTCACCAGGCCACCCCACCCCTCCTTGCGCCGCGCCGCTGCGGCCTGCAAGAAACCAACGGCGAGAAATCGGATCGGCCTTGCACACACATTCAATGGCAGGCCACGCAAGACAAAAACGCGGACCGCTGCCCGGGGGCGGGCGCTGTCGAGCTGGCGCCGCGGGTGTACGAGGGGATTCGCGGGCGATGTGATGCTGGGAGCGCATGTGATCTGGGGTCAGCGGCCGGCCGGCTTCCAAAACGGGCTGTACTCACCTCCTGTGGGTCCAGGAGGTGGGCTGAGTCGTCCTCCATGTCCGGGACGATCGCATACGGGCCCCAACTAGCGAAGGGGGAGCAAGGGGACGATGGAGGAGCCATGCGGGGTGCGTGGGCGAGTGCGGAACAAGAGGGGGGGGGGGGCGCAGCGGCGCACGCTGTGCTTGCGCCCCTCGTTGGGGGCGTGCTGGCAGCCACCCCCCGCGCCCGACGCTCCCAGGGGCGCGCGCCCCAGTGCCGCGCGCGCCACTCACAGCTGTATGAACGCCTCGTCGGCGTCCTCGCTGCGCCCCACGCTCTCCAGCCACACCGGGCTCTCGGGGCTGCCCAGCAGCGCGACTGCCTGCAGCGCGGCGGGCACGGCCTGCAGGGCGACCATCACGCGCCACCAGGCCACGAACTGGCCGCGGAAATTGAAGCCGCTGAACTCCTGTTCGTAGGGGACACCCGCCAGGTAGGCCAAGAGAATCCCGACGTTTATGAACACCTGGGAAGGGAAGGGCCGGAGGGGGGACCAAGAGTCGGGACAGCGAGCCGGAGCTGCAGCATTGATGGTGCTCGCAAGCAGGAAAACAGCAGGCTGCCTGTAGGCGTGCACACCAGTGCCCTCTGGAGCGCAGCCCGCCGCGCCCTGCCGGCTGCTTCGCGCGCCCACGCCGCCGCCGACGCCACGCGGGGGCGAGGCCGAAAGGAGTGACATCACGCTTTGCCGCCCTCACTGGCGGCGCCCGCACGCCCGCCCGCCCGCCAGCCGCGCAAGCTTGCGCGCGCGGGGTGCGGCTGCCTGCACGCACACCTGGTGCTGGCTGCCGATGCGGCCGCGCAGCGAGGGGACCGATATTTCTGCGATGTACCGCGGCGTCAGCAGCGAGGCAGCGCCCGCTCCGAAGCCGACGAGCGCGCGAGCAAACAGGAACGCCGCCTGCGAGCGCGCCGCCGCTGAGAGCAGCCCGCCGGCCGCGAACGGCAGCACGTTCAGCAGCTGCGCGCGGCGCGGGCCGAGGGCGTCGGCAAGGCGGCCGGAGAAGAGGGCGCCGATCGCGGCGCCGACGACGACGGCTGAGGAGAGGAGGGAGTCAGCGTCGGTGTCCAGGTCATCCAACACGGCGGTCAGGCTGGTGTTGAGGACGCCGATCGCGTAGCCGTACTGCAGCGAGCCCAGCAGCGCGCCCACGCAGGCAATCCACAGCGCGGCGGGGTAATCCCCATGCATCGCCCACGGCGTCTTGCCGGCGCCGGCGTGGTGCGGCATTGGCACCCCGGTGGCGCAAGCTCGGTGAGCTTGGGCGAGCACGCGTGCCGGGCGAGGCGTGCGCGCCGCACGGCACGCGCCTCAGCGCGCGCTAGGAGAAATTGCTGGCACTCAGGAGCGATTGGTACGAGATGTGGCTCGCGCTGAGAACACAGGTGTGGTTCGGTTCTGGGTGTCCGCCGCGGCAGGAGAAGCGCTAGCTCAAGCCCGATGTTTCAGCAGTGTTTCTCAGCCAAATCGTCCTAGCCAGTGGCCTAGGGGCCCATCATACAGAGATCCTGTGAGAACCAGGCAATTGATGTCAGTGGCGTCCCTGAATGCACGTAAAACTACACGACATCAATTGATAGACCTTGAAGTATACCTTTGGGGCTCGGTCAGCGATGGGTATCGTGCTTGGTGCCGGGTGGGACGCAGGATCAGCTGGATGAGCTAGGGCTGCAGTCTCGGGAGGCCGTTCTTTTCACGATCGGAGCTAGTAAAGCAAGCAGTGTGAGGCGCCGTCCGTCTTACCGTTCGTATTCCCTCAACTGTATGAGACGCAGCTGACCTCAGCGTTCAACCGCCGAGCATGTGGTGATACAGGTGGCGCCGGCTTCTGCCTTGGTCCTGCTGACCTGGGCCTTGTCACAAAATGCATGGACACCACTGAAGATTGCACTCCTTTGGGTTCCCGACAACTTCGCCAGAGAATGAAAGTTCTGGGGCCCTCAACCCCCTGATACTGCCTACCCTCTACTCGAGCAATGCATCTGCAACACCACGCAAGCCACACCTCAGCCGCCGGTTGCGGCGCATGCGCCCACACCAAGACTGGGGGCTCTCTTTACAAGCCCATGTGCTGAGGGGTCGTACGCCTCCATGTTTGCGGTGTGTGTAGTGATACAGGGCAGATCCAACAAGGCACTGGATCGCCGTCGAGCCAGAGAGTGGCGGGTGCGCCTGCACTTGGGATACATGAGTGAGGGTGACGTCCAATTTTGTGCTGCCAGCCCTGCAGGCGGAACGCGGTGTCATACGCCGCTCGACCAGGGCTGTGCAGCGATTGGCAGTGAGGCCCCACTCCAGGCGCTGTGCGCAGCGAGCGCCCCCTTGCCAGCGATGCTGCCGGCCACTTGGCGCCGGCGGCGACGGCCAAGCGACTCGCTACAGGCGCACACAGGCAGGGGGTTCTGGTACATGTGAGTGTGTACAAGCCGGGGAAACGCCTGTCTTGGAAGGGGGAGGGACAGCGCCCCTTTGCAACCCAGCGCTTGCGAAGAGACTGGCGAAAGCGCCTCGCGGCGCGCCCGGGGATGCATAGCCTTCAGGGGCTCCTTGGCGTGAGGGCAGGATGAGAATCAAGCCAGAAGAGCGCAGCAGACGACTCCCCAACAAAGGTCGACAGAGGGTGACCGCAAGGCGAGGGCGTGCCGCGCTGCATGGATGGCCGGCCGCATTGCATGGCTTACGCAAATGCCGCCGGTGTTTTCAGGCAGCACTCATCTGTAATCGGCAGTCCGTAACGGCGCGGAAGGGTTGCGCCCAAAATTCATCAAAACCAGGCGCGTGCGTGAATTCAGCGCCGGTCAGACCGTCACTATTACAGCGGCGCTGTGAGGTTGCTGCCGATAGCGCCCACAGCATCAAAACATGAGCGGCTGGCGCGGTGAGGTGTATGCGTCTGCGCGGTGACAACCCATGCCAAGTTGTGCGATGAAGTGGTCAGTGCCGGTCCATATCCACAGCAAAACCCCGACCAAGGGCCAAAGGACAGCACTCGTCCAACGCGACAACAGGCGGCAGAATATAATGGGACACAGGCCAACGCCGTCGAGGGGCCCCAGATCACAACCAGGTGCAGGCCAGAGCAGCCGCGGTGCAGCGCATTGCCCACAAGCCTGCCGTGCCAGGCAGGAGACCACCGCTGAGCAATCGTCAGCGCCGGCCATGCGCTGAAGTGCTGAATCCGCTCGGGACCCGGCTCCACCAAACCCAGCCGGGCGTCGCGGTCACAGCGGGTCGTAGTCAGGCAGGTCTGGCGGGTAGCAGTCTATGAGGTAACGCGTCAGCCCCGCGCACCCCAGCATCATCTGGTGCACCATCGCGTCCCACGCGTCGGCCGCCGCCTCCGACGCGTCTGTCAGGTCTGGCCGCGCCACGTCCACGGCGCTGCGCAGCTCGGCGAGGGGCCGGGGCTGCGCCGACAGCGCGGCGCGCATGTCCTGCGGGTTTCGGCGCGAGGGAGCGTCGCTGAAAAACTGTTGAGACACCCGCGAAATCCTTGTGCCCACTCGTGCAAGCAGGAGGGGGGTCGCAGGGCTTGTTCGATGGCACGCGCCACACCCGCGTGGGTTGCTCAGGCTCGTCACCTACCTGGGGCAGCAGCGCCGTGCCTCCGCTGCGCAGTAGCTGGGCGTCGGCAATGAGGCCAGGTGAAGCATACTCCGACAGCAGGCGCACGCGGTCGTCGTACCACTCCCGCCACCTGGGGGCGTTTGGAAGTGTATGGAGGAGCGATTGTCGCTTTGAATCTGCTGGGTGCGACGCTGCTTCGGTGCGCACAGCTGTCGACTGCTGCTGCGCTCTGTTTTGTGGCCGCAGTGCTGCAGCGCTGTGGCGGGCTACGAGTTTTTCTGGGGGGGGGGGTGCGTCCCACGCACCTGGGGTCGACAAGGCGCAGCACCGCGTCCTTGGTGGCGCGGTCAACAGCCACGATGACGTCATGCCTTCAAGAAGGGCGCAGTGGATTGCGGCGCCAACGGATCATTGCATGCTCCAGGCGTGCAGCAAGGCGCCTGCTGCAGCCGGGCGCCGTGAGCTGGCAAGGCGTGCTGCGCGAGTGCGCATGCAGCTGACGACACCAAACGCTGCTTCCAAGGCACCGTTCCTCTGGTCAGCTGGGATGACCGTCCGCCTGACCCGCCCCTCCGCCGCCGTCCCCGCGCCGCAGACCCTACGCGCCCTGGCCACCTGTCAAGGTCTGCGGGCTCAAAGCGCTCCGTGGGGCGCGTGAAGCTCTTTGGGCGCAGCCGCAGGTCACGCGCCTTGGACATCAGCGCCGCCTGCAACCGATAGCGGCACGCATCGAGCGTCAGGAGGGCATGCCGCATGACGAGAGGTTCGAGTCGGGCACATCAGCAGGCCCATTGGTGGCTCCATGGCAGCGCCTGCTTGTGGAAGGAAGGATAGCTGTCTCCAGGCCGCCGCAGGGCGCCGCCGCGCCGCCCATGCTGCTTCGTGCTCGTTCAGCAACGCGCCAGACGTGTGCACGCTCAGGCAGGCATGGCGTGCCCATGCACCGCAGCGCGGCGGCTAGGCCTGCGCGCGCTGACCTGCGTGGCCAAGCTGCCGCACGCGGCGTCTTGGTCGGCGTCGACGCCGCAGGTCCAGGGCAGCAGGACGCGGCCGTAGCCGTTCCACTCCGCGACGCGCTCAAACAGGCCGCACGCCAGGCGGCCGCGCAGCACGTCGTCGGCGTCGATGATCAGGACCTGGTTGGCGGGTGGCAGCGAGGGGGCGGGGTCGCGGAGAGCGACGCTTGCCTGCCGCAAATGGAAAGGGCAGCTATCTGGCCCGACTGCAGAATGGTCCCCGCGAGCAGATGTGCGGGTCGCGATAGGCAGGGGTTCCGGGGCGCTGCGCCAAGAGGGGTGCGGGGATGCTGCACCAAGAGGCGTTTGATACAACGGGCCTCACGCGGCTGACGGCAGCACGCAGGCTGCGCACTTGCGCATCTGCGCCACACCGGCAATTGACGCGCGGCCAGCTGCGTGGCTGATACCCATGCCTTTCACCATATGAAAACACCACCCATATCCATGTGGCTGTGCCCAAACCCTGCCCTCAGTGCCCTATGTTCACCAAACTCACAAAGACCTCCATCGACTTTGGTGTGTTTGGGAACGGCTGGTAGCAAGTCGTGACCGCGCATCGCACACACGACAAGACACTGAGTGCCCTGTTTGTCAGCCATCAGCACATGACCAGCATGCCGTCTGTATGAAATGCGCTAACCTGTAGGTGATACCTTGACCAGTCCACGTCCGGCAGCTGGGGCATGGCGGCGGAGGCGCGCTCGCCTGACGGTGCCGCATGTGCTGCGCACGATGCCCGCAACCGCCGCGGGGCCCCACCCGCATGCGCGCTGGGTTTATGAAGTCGCAGTACTGATTTCATGCCTCTCCACTATACTTGATCACCAAATATTGGCCGCACCGAACACTGGCAACAACGGCAAGCAGCAGGCTGTACGCAGCTTTGATAATCAGTATACGTGATGTCGAATTCTTTTTATTGATGCGCCTGATAGTGGACCACAACCAGCGGGGGATTGGATACCGCAGAGATCTCACAGACGCTTCTTGCCTTCCCCTGCCCGAGCTCTTTCAAGTTGCTGTGGGATGGTTGGAAAGTGTACTCGGCCGGGCTGGCATAGCCACCAAATCATGCGAAGGGACAGCGCTCACGGTGTGGTCACCCGGCGACATCATCGCAGCTGAGCCCATCAGCCATCCCACCCGGCAGCCAAGGTCCATCTTGACATCCTGAAAATACGTACCATCAAACCCTTTTACCCTTTTAGCGGCCGACCCGCCGCTGGCGGCAGCCGCGAGAGCCGTGCAAACGCCTGCTGCGCCAGCCGCTGCGGGCTGACCTCGAGCTGATCATCCTGCCGCTGCTGCACAGCCTGGCCGAGCACAACCAAGTCCTCTGCCGCCTGCTGCCACGCGCCCAGTGGCAGGCCGCCGCGCGCTGCGTCGACCTGTGTCTGCACCAGCCGTCGCAGCGCGGCCTCCGTTGTCGAGCTGTGATATGCTTCCCCTGCAGATAGTGAGTGTGGAGGAGGGTGGGTTGGCTGTGCGTCCAGGTGGTTGGTGGGCGCATGGTGGTGGAATCGCAGCGCCGTGTCAGTACGCCAGCGAGCATCGTAATGCCTCTCCCTGCTACCCTCCACATTCAGACATGCAACGCCCCGCCCCTCACCTCACCCTCAAGCACCCCGACCCAATTTGGTGTTTCGCACATGCGCAGGCCCCGCACGCACCCATGCCTGCGCGACTGCCCACCTTCCCGCCGCCGCAGCCTTAGCTCGAGCAGCGGCAGGTCCAGTCCTGCCAGCTCCCGCTTCAGCGCGCCCGCCCTCAGCGCCTGCGCCTCGGCCAGCCGCGCCTGCAGCGCGTCAAACGCGTCGCACGCGGCCGCGATGGGGCCGGGCCCGGGGATGGCGGCGGCGCCGCCCGCCAGCTGGCGGCGCAGGGCCGCAAGCTCGAAAACCTGCGGCCGCGTGGCACACGGCGCCGCGCATGCAGGGGCGCAGCGGCGTGCCAGGCCAGGGGTTTCAGCCGAACCGCGTGCGGCATGATTTTGCACTCCGCCCCTCCGCATGCATGCAGCGACAGCACAGCGCGTTACATCCCGTTGCTTCCTGGCACCGCGGCAACAAAGAGGGAGATTGATGCAGGTGTAAACAGAGCCCTGCGGACGCCGCAGCGCGCATCGTTAGAGAGCACCCACCAGCTCCCGCCGCTCGCGGCCAAAGCGCGACAGCTGGTCCAGGTCCGGCCCCGACAGCAGCCGCTCCGCCGCCGCGCTCGCGCCCGCCACGGCGCGCAGGTATTCTCGCCACGCGGCCAGCGCGAGCGGCCGGCCCGCGCCAAGTGCGGCGCGCACGCCGAAGGGGTCGGGCTCGACCCCCTGCTGCGGCTGCGCCTGCAGATGCTGCTGCAGGGGGTGCTGCTGCGGCTGCTGCGCCCCCGGCTGCTGCCCCAGCTCCCGCCGCAGCTTGGGCAGGCTGTCTGCCAGCGGCTGTAAGCGCGCCGTCAACTGCATGTGTCGCTCATCAAACTCCTGCAGCTGTAGGGGCGCAGGGTTGCGGCAAACGTGCAGGCTGATTGCACTGCAAGGAGCGGCAGGTGGATCATATCATGGCACCCACCACCCATCTGTCATGGATGGCTTTCACAAGCCAAGCGTGAGCAAGGGAGACAAGCACGCCGCATGCAGCATGCTGGGTGGCGTGTGGGGCGCCTCGATTATCAGCGCACCTGCTGCAGCACCTCCCTGGTCCTTGCAGCTTTGCGCAGCGCAATGGCGGCCTTGGCCGCCTGCGCATGCAAGAAGGGATGGGGTCACCCGGACAGGTGTGGTCGACAGCAGCTGGCATGACACCAGGTGTGCCTGGACACAGAAAGAGCGGCTGAAGCGCCATCAACTGCAGCCGCACGCCAGCGTGCCGATCTCCTGCGGAACGCGCTCATGCAACACACCTCTTCTGCAGATGCTGTTGTGTCCGCCCCGCTCCGCGCCGCCTTGACTGCGCCGCTAGTGTATTCCCAGAGTGCCGCCCAGCGCGTCACAAAGAACTCGTATCGAGCTGTACGAGCTGATCCCATGGCAATGTAAGCTCTGCTGAGAAGCGCTGCAGAGCTCAGCGGGTGCCGCTCAGCACTGCTGCAGTTGGAGCTCAGCTGCGTGCTGGTGCTGCCGTCGCTGGACGATGAGCGCGCGTGCTGCAGGGCGGGCAGGATAAACTGTGTAAGCAATATCCCCGACAGTCTCAGCGACCTGCAGCTCGCGCCCCGGCGCACAGACTGACGGAAAAATTTCAGATCGGGCCGTCGGTGTTGTGGTATGTCCAAATAAGTATGTTGGCACCGTCGCGATCGTCCATATGAGCAATGTCGACACGCCCACCTCAAAACCTGCTCCAAGGCGGCAGAATGTGTGGGTGACGCCGCTGCTCAGCTGCTGTCGCCGCTGTGACGGTCAACGCCAACATGTTGCGACATTCTCAGGGCTCCCATTGCATGTGCTCTGTAGAGGTGTATAACTGTGTGAGGCACCTGATGCGTTGTCTTGCACACAAACTGTGTGTGCAGCTGCATGGTCCCCGTCGCACTCACGGCTGCACCTTCCTGCTACTGCTGCGCTGCCGCAGCAGTAGCGCTCCTGGTGCTGCCACAAGGGGTGTCTGAACGTATGTGAACCACCGTTCAAGCACCGTTCAGCTCTGCATGTGGCATTGTCCATTGCATGCAGCCGCCAGCTGGCAGACGACTGTTGCCTGAATGGCTGCCACCTGCCAAGTGCCAACCAGACACCATTACTCGTGCCCACCCCTCGCCCTTCATGTGTGTGTCAGCAGCGGTTACCATGAGCTTCGTGCTTGTTCTCTGCCAGGGCTTTTCTCAAGCGGTTTGCAGCAGTGAGCCTTGGGACTCCAGGGGTCGAATGGAGAGGTGCGCAGAGCCAATCAGGGGCAGCGCCGCGTCGGGGCCACCTCCTGGCGCCGCGCGCGGGAAACGCCACAGCAGTACAATCCCAACCCTCACAGCCAGAACACTCAGCTATGCGACGGATGGAGCAGCTCGCTGGGCTGGTGTTGGTTGCCGGGGGTGGTGGAGCGATGCGCAAAAGGCCGTGACACGGTCCCAGTGCTCCCCCCCGCCGCGGCTGTTCATCCTGGCCGCATCTGAATTGTGGGGGAGGGTAGACGCGGCCCGGACGCTTGCTACCTCCTGTCATTTCAGGATCAAAAGACTCGGTCGCCACAGAATGATGGAGCGGGCCGCGGCGGCGCGTCGACAGCGAGCGTGCGGGATGCGTGTCCCGCTTTCGCCTTTGGCGGCGGCCCCCTTCACAAAGCACCGGGAGCGCAGGGGCACGCGCCCCACGCGCCCCGCCGCCAAGGTGGTCTCCGACGCAGAGGGCAGCGACGGACGGCAGGCGTGCCCCAGGCACTCAAACGGTGGGGCTCTGCGAGGTTCGACCACACCCAACGGCATCGCGCGTCCTCTAAAGACCCGGAAAAATGAGACCGGTGGTGAGCTGTGACCATGGTGCAACCGAAAAATCACAGAACGCGGCGTCACTGGGCCGTGGAGGGGCTGGTCACGGCCACCGGCGCGATTTCGAAAGCGTAGCAGTCGACCAGCCGGAACGCCGCGGGGTCGTTGGGCGCGGAGCCCGGCGTCTTGAGAATGGTGCCGTGGCGGTACGAGGCGCGGCCCGACGCCAGGTCATCGCAGTACGCGCGCAGGGCGATCTGGATGCTGGAGAACGCAATCTGATCCCAGGGGATGTCCTGGAAGGTGAGGGGGCGTAATCGGCCGGGACGCTTGGGGGTGACGAGGCGGATGTGAGGCAGTGTGGCAGTGCAGTGCGGGCCATAGCGACGCAGGTGGGTTGGGCACTGACGGGGTCCCAGGCAGACATGACAGCTGTCATGCGCGGATGGGGCGCCCGGAAAGTGCGCGACAGGGGACCCCGCAAGCTTCGCGCCCACGGTTGCGGGACAAAACAAGGACTGCGACGGTGGGGGTGGGGGTGGAGGTGGGGGCGCGCAGCCGAGACGAGCTGCGCGCCCATGCGCTCACGACCCGCGCCGCACCTCCGGTGCCACCAGGGCCGATTCCAGCGACTCCGAGGTGCCCCCTGATTTGAATTCAAAAGGCGGCGCCAGGCGCGCGCGGAAGAGCAGGTAGGACTGCCCTATGGTGGGGATGTCCAGGTGCATGAAGGGCGCCAGGATTTCGACCTGGGGTTTCAGGGGTTGGGGCCAATAGGGTGCAGCAGGGTTTAGGGGACCTTCTGGTTGCATGCAGGATTTGGTGAAACGCAAGCCGCCAGAGCTTCACCGAAGGGGTGCATGCGTGCAGCGTCTCCGCGCTGCTCACGCCACCCGCGGCATCCAGCGCCGCCTGGCACCCCTCCGTGAGCCGCCGCCCGTCCAGCCCCGCAGCGCACGCCGCGGCCCCGCGCACCGCGGCGCCGGCCTCCTCCATCGTCTCCCTGGCCGCCCCCGCCATTGTCGACTCCCCGACTTCCAGGAACCCAGCCGGCACAGTCCACTTGCCGCGACACGGCTCAATTGCCCTGGTCGTGGGTTCGACAGACACACGCGGCACACGAGGTTTGCGAAACAAGGGGTGGGGCAGGGGTTTGTTTGCTTCCCAGACACGGCATTGAGCGCAACAGGGGTGTGTCAGAGCGCATGGTGTGTGTCGACTGCCGGGGCGCTCTACTGACCTGCGGCAGAGCAGCAGCTTGCCCGCGTGCTCCACGATGCAGCCCACCACCTGCAGAGGCCAGGGGGTCGCGCGGTGCGTTGCATTGCAGCCAGTGGGTGGTGAGACGCTCCCGCCGCCACTGGGGCCCCTGGCTGAGGCAGCAGCAAATGCCAAGCACGGCTGTCCTGCAATAGGTGGTAAGGCCCCATCGCGCACACCATGCACGCAGACGTGCATGGCGGGGCCTCGCGGCGCATGAGCCGCGGCGGTGCGAGGGGTGCAGGTGGCTTGGCCAGAGTGGATGGGTCATATCTCAGTTCGGCATGTGCGCCCCAGCCGCCCACCATCTTTGGATTGAAATAGTCAACATAGCTGCAGGACGTGCATACGTGACGCCACTCGTTGTCACCTTCAGGGCGGATCACCTGCCATGCGCACGGGCGGGCGGGCGGCGGTGGCGGCAGACGCTCTCGCTTGTCTGGCGTCGGGCGCGATGGCCGGTGGGTAGCCCCTGCGTTCAGCGCTTCGTGAATGCAGCAGTTATGTGCTTTGCAATCGGCCCTTGATACTGTCGCTGCCCGCCACAAAGCAGCAGCCCGCACCTCCATAGGGCTGCCGCACTGGCGACAGAATCGGCTCAGGCTCAGCGGGGGCGCGGGCCGCGAAGCGGGCGCGCCATGACCATGTGCCGCAAGCGCCGACGGCGGGGCCGGCAGTGCGGACT